GAACACAAATTAACAACCTTATGCTACACCTCAAACTTCTACAAAAAGAAAAGCAAGTTAATCCCAAAGCCTGAAGAAGGGAGGAAATTATAAAAATCATACCAGAAATGAAAGCAACTGAAACTAAGAAAACAATACAAAGAATTAACACATCAAAGAGTTGATTCTTTGAAAAAATAAATAAAATTGACAAACGTCTATCCAACCTTCTCAAAAAAAGGAAAGAAAAAACTCAAATCCATGCAATAAGGAATGAAAGGGGTGATATCACTACAGATCCAGCAGAAATTCAGAAGATCATCAACACCTACTTTAAAAATCTTTACTCTCATCAGATGGAAAACACAGAAGAAATGGGATGATTCCTAGATATATATGAATTACCAAAGCAGAATCACAAATATATAAAAATCTTGAATAACCCAATATCAGCCAATGATATTGAAAATGTAATAAAAAAAAAAAAAAAAAAAAACTTGCCAACAAAAGAAAGCCCAGGTCCTGATGGATTCACAGCTGAATTCTACAAGAAAATTTGAGAAGAATTTATACCAATTCTTCTCAAACTCTTTAAAAAAACAGAAACACAAGCAATTCTCCCAAACTATGGAGAAAAAGTATTATCCTGACACCAAAACCAGAAAAAGAACTAGCCAAAAAAGAGAACTATAGACCAACCTCCCTAATGAACATAGATGCAAAAATTCTCAATAAAATACTACCTCATAGAATGCAGCAAATCATCAAGAAGATAATGCACCATGACAAGGTGGGATTCATCCCAGGAATGCAGGGATGGTTCAATATATGCAAATCAATCAATATAATACACCATAACAGAGTAAAAGACAAGAATCACATGATCATCTCAATAGAAGTAGAAAAAGCTTTTGATAAAGCCCAACAGTTATTCATGATAAAAAAAACTTACAGAAAACTGACATAGATGGACATTAATACAACCTGATAAAAGCCATCTATGACAAACCAAGAGACAACATCAGACCAAATGAACAAAACCTGAAAGCATTCCCTTTAAAATCAGGAACAAGACAAGGAAGTCCACTGTCACCACTCCTACACAACACAGTTCTGGAGACACTAGCCAGAGCAATTAGAAAAGAGAGAAAAACAAAAAGAATAAACATAGGAAAGTAAGAAGTAAAATTATCTTCATTTGCAGATGACATGATACTCTATACAGAAGACCCCAAAAACTCCACCAAAAGACTCCTTGAATTAATCAGCACATTCAGTAGCATAGCTGGATACAAAGTTAACATGCAAAAATCAATAGCATTCCTATACAGAAACAACAAACAGAGAAGAGAGAAATAAGGGAGAACATACCTTTCACAATAGCATCCAAAACCTCAAATACATAGAAATCAATCTAACAAAAGTAAAAAGATCTATACAGTGAAAATTACACTACTCTGAAAAAGGAGATCAGAGGATTTTTAAAAATGGAAAGGTATTCCTTGCTTATGGATAGGAAGAACCAACATTGTGAAAATGGCCATACTCCCAAAATGGTTATAAAGATTTAATGCAATGCCAATAAAAATACCATTGGTATAGCGCACAGAGCTAGAGAAAACATGCCTAAAATATATCTAGAACCACAAGAGACCCCAAATAGCAAAAGAAATCCTGGGCAACAAAGGCAAGGCAGGAGGTATTACAATCCCTGATTTGAAATGATATTACAAAGCTACTGTGATAAAATCAGCATGGTATTAGCAAAGAAACAGACTTGAAGATCAATGGAACAGACTGGAAGATGCAGACACAACCATAAAGACACTCAGCCACCTTATCTTTGACAAAGGGGTCAAACATGTTCACTGGAAGAAAGATACCCTCTTTAATAAACAGTGCTGGAAAAACTGGCCTTCCACATGCCAAAGACTAAAACTAGACCCAAGCCTATCACCATGCACCAAAATAAAGTCAAAATGGCTTAAAGATCTAAATATTAAAACAGAAGCACTAGCTCTAATGAAAGAGAAAGTAAATGAAAGTCTTGAAGACATAGAGGTAGGTAGAGAGTTCATGAACAAAAACAAAACTGCAAGGAAAATACTTCAAAGACTCAACAACTGGGATCTCTTCTTACTGAAAGTTTTGCCCATCAAGAGAAATCAACAACACAGTATAAAGAAAACTCAGGAACTCAGAAAAATTTTTGCCAACTGCCCCTTAGACAAAGGACTTCTATCTAGAACATATAAAGAATTAAAAAGTTAAGCCCCTAAATTCAAAGACCCAATCCAAAAATGGGCATCTGAGATGAGTACACACTTCTCTGAGGAAAAAATAAAAACCAAATGAATATATGACAAAATGTTCAAATGACTGGTCATTTAAGAAATGCAAATTCAAAAGCGTGTGTAGGGTTGTGTTGTCTGAAATGTTTTAGGCAAAGGAGAATGGCTTCCTGTTCACAGTACTTGCTGTACTACTTGAGACATGGTTGTACTACATCAGGATCATCAATGCCACTAAGTTCAACATACCAGATGCTAAAGTTAAAACTGGGGCCCCAGGATAGGAGCAGAACTATCTTAATGAATCAAAAAGAAAACATCTGTTCTTAAATTTTATGCTTCAAGATGACTCTTTGTTCTAATCAGTCTTTAAACCACTAGACAATAGCTTTTGTATTTTCTTCCTTCATCCCACCAAAGACTAAATTTCGTCAAAGTGCAGACATGCATTCTCTCATACCCTAAACATAATATTTTGAACTATAACAGGCCTTTACAGCTTTAGAATCAAGTACTGGGAGGATAGTTGCTTGCTGAAGACCATCTTGAAGACAGGTCAACTGGTTTATCCACTAAAATGTTCTCCTGAAGGTAGGTACACGCACCACTTGTGTGGCATGCAGGGCAGAAGCTGGCACTCAGGCACTGCAGGAACAGCCCTCCCAGTCGCAATCTTGTCAGCACTATAGCAGCCAATTTTGCTGCTTATATCTGGTAATATGAACAACTAATCTGAACACAACAACGTGCAATATAACAACCACTGGTGAATTCCCACTATCGTGTCTAATGAAACTCTGTATCATTTCTAATGTTTCTATTGTTTTTTTTTTTAATTTTCTTTAATGATTTGATCAATCTCGAATTCTTACATCTGGTAATCCGAGCAACTTCATTGAAGATAACAATGTGTAATAAAACAATCCTTTTCTTCTCAAACTCTGTATCATTTACTTTTTGCTTGTTTTTGTCTTGGCTACATTGTTGTTATTTTGGTATTGCTTTTCTTATCATTCTCTTTGAAATAAATTTTTAAAAAGGGCAGGAGCTGGGCGTGGTGGCACAAGCCTATACTCCCAGCACTCAGGAAGCTGAGGGAGGAGGCTCATTATGAGTTCAAGGCCAACCTGGGCTACAAAGTGAGCTCAAGGCCAGCCTAAACTGCATAGCAAGACCCCGCCTCAAAAAAAAAAAAAAAAGGGTAGGAAGATGATGTGCTACACACACCCCAGAGGAGGTAGTTTGCATACAATATAAGGGAGGAAAAGAGGCTTGCACCCTCCCATTTTTGCTCTTGTTGCTGCTGCTCTCTTCCAACATAAACTGTTACCCCCATGCCATGCCTCCCTGCCTTAGAGCCAGGTGATTATGGACTGAATCCTCCACAAAATGTGACAAATAAAACTTGTCTTCCTTAATGTTGGGTATCAGGTACTTTGTCCCAGCAATGAGAAAAATGTGCCTAAGACAGAAGTTGGTACCAGAATTGGGGTCATTCTTTGACTATATCTGACCAAGTGGTTCATGAGCCTTTGGGAATAGCTTTTGCCAAGTTGAGAAAGGATTTGAGATGCTCCCTGAAAGAGTAGTGCTGGAATGCTTTAGGCTGTTCTGTAAGGGAGGTCCTGGTCAGAGATCAGAAGGCCACAAGACAGGTTGAAATTCTGCCAGTAAACACCAGGCTTGGCAGGTTTTTGCTGGAAAGGACTGCACTGGCTGTTGCTGGACTCCAGTTGATGAGTTATGGCTTAACAAAATTTAAAGTTTGTCAGCATTTTGCTCATGTCCAGAGAATGTGCCTGAGACTGAATTAAGGGCACAGTACTAATTAATCTCACAGAAGAAATTTCAAGAGTCAAATGCTTAGCCAGTGGCATGACTATTGTTGGGGGATTTTGGTCAGATTTACACTGCAAATCTAGCAGAGATCACAGCACAATGACTTAAAATGTGAATTTGACAAGAAGCAAAGCTCCAGTAAAGCTGTGGACTACAAAGATAGAGTTGAGATCTTGACTGCTAAGAAGGAACAGGGGAATAGAAAACATATCCTGAGGGCATAACAACAAGCAGCAAGTCTCCATCGTTGCAGCCTCAAAGCTGCAAAAGCGAAAGACTTTGCTTTGAGGAGAAAGCCACAGAGCACCGGGTTCCATAATGGGGGAAGCTGCACCATGTTACTGAATGGGGGCAGCATAGCAAATTTGTTCCTCAGAATAAGATTCAGAGTGCCCAGTGATTCGTGCACTTCATCCCCACAGCCAAGAGAGACAAAAGCCTGGCTGGTTCTCCAGCTGGCAACAGAACTTGGCAAAACGCACATGTACTGGATTTAAGCACATGCAGAATGCTACATTTATAGGGTTAAGGATGCTTCCACACCGACTTCAGAAGGGTTGGTGGCCAGACAGTGTGCCCCTGAGAAGGCAGTGGGTGAAACTGTGAGTGTAAAGCCAAAGGTGCAGTGGAGACTGAACAAGTTCGGCGCAAACAGCAACATGGATTATCTGAGTAAACCTGCAGGGAGGGATTAAAGCTAGCTCAAGAGAGAAGGCATGGTAGCTACAACCACTGGAAATGCCGAGTGGAGCCACCAAAGTCTTTTGGAGTTCCCACCTTACCACACATTACATCAGATGCTGGACATGTAACTAGAGAACTTAATGTCTGCCCTGCTGAATTCTGGGCTTGCTTTGTTCCCAAGTGCCACTGAATGTTGCAAGTGTTTAACTTTTTCTTTGTACAGAAGGCTTGCAGTATGGTTTATTTTGGATACATACGGTGGAAAAATTAACACTGTATTAAAACTGCAATATAAACATGAAACATAAAATTTTGATGGTAAAAAAAAATTATGGAAATGATAAGATTGGCTCCAGTAGGAAAGAAAAATATGCAATATTGCCTGTATCTGCCAATAATGAAGGAAAAACATTAAGTCCATAGAAAACCACCATACTTGAAACTAAAAAGTACATTTTCCAATTCAACATATTTAATTAAAAGACACTATGTATTCAGCATTTAAAAATACAAAATTATGTAAACTCAATATTTTCATATTAAACCCTACAAATACACAATATAGATATGTATAAATGATTTACTGAAAACAACACTATGCACCTACTTTAGGACAATTTTATATGGGAACTGTATTTTCTGGAAAATCTGTGAAGATGTATTGGCATCAAACATCAGGCATTATTTCAGGTCTCCACTGTATGAAAAATTTTCACAGGATTTTCAAATTTGGTTTGAATGTATAAAGTTTTTCTCCAGTGAGGTTTCTTTCATGTACTTAAAGATGGATGTGGACTAGCACCTTTCCCACATTACTTATATACATAGGATTTCTGCCCAGGATGTTCTTTCCTATATGAATACATGAATATAGAATTATTATGTGTACAGAAAGTATTTGTACATTGTTTATATACATAGAATGAATTTTCAGTGTGAATTCTTTCATGTACTTTACATTCACTCTGCCTTGTGAAATTGTTCCTACAATGCTTATATACACAATTTCTTCCAAGTATGAATTCTTTCATGTGTTCGCAAATGTTGGATTGTGGGAAAAGCTTTCCCACATTGTTTACATATATAGGGTTTCTCTCCACTGTCAATTTTTTCATGTCGTTGACAAGATCTGTCTGTTGTGAAAACATTCCCACATTGCTTGCACAGACAGGGCTGCTCTCCAGTGTGAAGTCTTTCATGAATCTTACAATACTGATGTATGGTGAAAGCTTTCCCACACTGTACATACAAAGGGTTTCTCCCCAGTGTGAATTCTTCCATGAATCTGACAGAGTTTCTGCTAAAAGCTTTCCCACATTGCTTACATACATAGAGTTTCTCCACTATGAGTTCTCTCATGTATTTCACAAAATCCACGTGTTGAAAGCTTTCCCACATTGCTTACATACATAGGTTTTATCCCCTGTGTGTTGTCTCATGTATTTCACAAGAACCATGTGTGGTAAAAGCTTTCTGACATTATTTACATGCAAAGGGTTTCTCCAGTCTGAATTCTTTCATGTTATTTTACACGCATTCTGTGCATGTGCAGAAAAATTTTCCACAGTATTTTTGCATGTTTCTGCCTTGTGTGAGTTCATGTTTTTGACAATGATTGCTTTTGCTAACTTTTCCACATTGCTTACATAACTAGTGTTTCTCTAGTGTGAGTTCTTTCATGTTTCTTACAACAACTCTTTTGGTTAAAAGCTTTCCCACATTCTTTACATATATAAGGTTTCTCCCCAGTGTGAATTCTTTCATGTTCTTTACAACCACGGTGCGTGCTGAAAGCTTTCGCACAATGCTTACATACATAGGGTTTCTCCCCCGTGTGAATTCTTTCGTGTATTTTACAATCATAGTACCTAATGAAACCTTTCCCACATTGCTTACATACATAGGGTTTCTCTCCAGTGTGGGTTCTTTCATGTATTTTACAATATCCATGTGTACTGAAAGCTTTCCCACATTGTTTACATACATAGGGTTTCTCCCCAGTGTGAGTTCTTTCATGACTGCGACATTGAGTGTTTCTGCTGAAAGCTTTCCCACACTGCTTACATATATAGGGTTTCTCCCCAGTGTGAACTCTTTCATGTGTTTGACAATGACGTTTTGTGCTGAAAGCTTTCCCACAGTGTTTACAGGCATACGGTTTCTCTCCAGTGTGAAGTCTTTCATGCATTTGACAATTTGTACGGAAGCTGAAAGCTTTACCACATTGTTTACATACATAGGGTTTCTCTCCACTGTGAAGTTTTTCATGCATTTGACAAGATATACGGGTGGTGAAAGCTTTACCACATTGTTTACATACATAGGGTTTTTCTCCAGTGTGAAGTCTTTCATGTATTTGACAAGATTTACGTGTGCTGAAAGCTTTGCCACAGTACTTACATACATA